TAGATATAATGCATTAGATATAATGTATACATATTTTTAATTTCCATTTTACATTTTTTGAATTTTTAAATTCATTCATTGTTTTTTGAAGGGGCGGGCGTGGGGATGGATGGGTTGGGGAGGTTTTGAAAGTACCTACGTCCATTAAAAAACCAACACTTCCTATTGAGGATGTCTAAATGAGCCTGATTCCTGATGTGAGGGCAGTATAGGATCCGGAGAAGCTTCCATTTTCTTTTTCATTTTTCTTTAAAGTTACCGCCGCTCATTGCCGGAAATGGGATATCTGAGCCCCTTCTACTCTTTTATCTTCATTTTTTATAACTTCTAAACTGCATTAATTGCCGCATTTTCCCAATATAATTGTGGCGGAAAACATGCACATCTCATATGAATCACGGATGTTTTAAAGATTGATTCTCCGAGTCATTCTCTATGAAAAGTCTATTTGCGATGAATGCACACAAAAAAAAAACAAAGAAAAGTGATATCCCCATGCAACCATGCAGTTGCCTTTGACTTTTATTTAATTCACTGTTTGCAGAGTTCGAGACTGACCATCTGGCAAGTGGCTGTATGATGCCCTCTCTTGGATTAAAGCTCATAGAAAATTGACTTGTCAGTTCTTATTATTGTGTAGAATTTAGATATCTCATCATCATTCCGATTCAATTTGCTTGCAAGTTGTTTGTTTTATGTTGCCACATCTAGGGCAGAACGTGGACAGAGATTCGGAGGTGATTCACACTCACAATTGCAAATGTACAATTGAAACCCGGCCAGTGCTTTTAATAACTTTCTTTTCGAAATTGCAAGAAGACCCTCCACATTTGATGCTTTTCAGGAGAAACTTATGTTCACTTGTTTCGTAGTTACGTATCACCATCTTGTCTGACGTCCAAATTGCTTCATTTATTCAAAACTAAAAGACTGTTTGGCAAGTTTGAGATTTTGCCGTTGCATATTGCTTTTGTTTTGTTTTGGTTTTGCCAGCAGCAACTTCTTAATTGGCTCATGTTTTTCCATGAACTATATCAGGTTCATAATTAATATAACACAACACGTATTGTTAAGGGATGGACATGACAACAAATACAGAATTAAAATGTAAAATCAAACTTTCAACCTGCTTCCAGAAATGTTAATGTATCTTTTTCATTTTTTTGACCACCCATCTAGTGTTTTTACTTTCCACGCAGTCCATGGCTCCTCCTTCTACAGCAAATACAATTAGGGCGCGGTGCTGTCATAACTGTTTCGTATTGTTTAATCTGCAATTACCTAAATTCTTTGTAATTTCAAACTGTTTTCACAAAGAGTGTATTTCCTGCTAATCAGTTAAACACAGAAAATGCAGAAATACAAAAATGACCTGTGAAAATTTAAAAGAGTTGATCGCTCAGAGACACACAGCATTATTCCACACCATTCAAAGGGACCGTTTTCATTAGAATATAATAAAAAATATTACATGAAAAAAATATCTTTTAACTTTCCCTCACGTTTAAACACGTTTTTGTTGCTCGAAATGGACTCGATTCGAGTTGAACATAGTCCGAATCAGTCACTAGTCAAGTCTAACTCAAACCGAGTCCAAAAGGCAATTAACGAGTCTGATGCCAGTCACGAGTCAAACAAAAAATAAACAAATAAACTGACTCGAGTCCTCCAAAATATACCCGCCTGAATTTCCTGAGGGGGGGGGGGGGGGGGTGATAATTCAAATTACGTTTGCTGAATAATTACTCCTTAACTTATTATGGGACAACTTTTCCCCATTTTCAATTAAATAAAATTTTACTGCCAAAAATACACAAAATAAATTCAATTAGATACAAAAAAACGCTTCTTTGCCATTTAAAAACTCCCCCATCAAATTCAAATACAGTCTCAATAACAGGACTATTTAATAAGGAATCGAAATGTAAAGTGTCATTAAAAAAATGTCCAAACAATTAGAGTGTTGTCTGCTAAATGAGTTACGCCTACCTCCTGTAAGTCATTTAAAAAGTTGAACAAAACAAACAGTTAGCACATCATTGATTAGTGTAAAGAAATCCCCACTTTATTGAAAATAAGCAAGTTTTTTTAGCTAAAATATACAGACAAACAAGTACAGTGTAGTGTATTGTAGACGAGTGTACAGTACTCGAGTGCGCGGTCGATCTTTTGGACTTCGTTCAATTGGCACTCAAGGGTATTTATTATTATCTTCTCGTGTCAGGCTTGTGTGACTCCTTTTGTTTGCACAAAGTCAATTGCATTCGCGTACTGGTATCGTGAAGTCCTGTGTATCGGCCTTACACATGCACACATGCAAAGTACAAGCCTGCATACAAAACATGCACCACAGTTTAATAAGCTATAGCTGTAGCATTTAATTGCTCTAAAACACTGTTTTTCTTTCCAATTGGGAACTTTGTCATGAAATACCTAGCTAGGACAGTGAAAACATTCCTATTGGCCAAGAACCGATCACGTTGCTTCAATTTAACCTTTCGATAAAAATCAGGTTAGCATCTTACGTATATTTCAGTATTCACTTTTTACATACTTTATCTCATGAAATCTATATGAACTAAAATCTTGTCAAAACATATCGTTGATGTCGAGAATATACTTTAATGTTTAATTGGACTTTTGGTTAAAAGATATACAACAATTCTCGTAACTTCTGTTCATGATAAGGAGTGTTACATGTGTGTTGGCGACAATGCAAATATCAAAACAGGAGCTAAAACTTCCCTAGGCCGTTTTTGTCACTGTAGGATTTCGTCTATATGATTATCATGAGTCGTAATTATCACATGATTTGTTTTCATGTAATGTTTTTGATCAAGTTTCTTAAAATATACCAACCCATTCATTGAAGTAGCTGAAATCAACTAATAAAACTACATTGTAAGTTTTGAAATGAGCCAAGTCAAATCAACACAAAATGATCATATGTCGTAAAATTGTGTATTTACAGGCAGGTTAACAGCAATTAAACAAAATATCTCTGACAGAACAATCAAACTTAATTTTCAATTTGACTCTACTTGAAATATTTAAACATTTTTTAAATATTTTGTCGAGATTTTTTGGGAAATGTGTCCAATTTGTTTGGACAGTTAAAAGAAATGTAGTTTGTATCTTGATCATTGAGTCAAAAATTTACCAGCACTGTTTTTTTTTCTTTTCAGTTGAAAGCTAATCCTTGTCATAAAGTCCTTAGGAAAGCTTATACATTCCTATTGGTTAATAACCTATCACGCGGGTTTAATTGAAACCCTGTAACAAATTGGGCCATCTCACTTTCGGTATTCAATATTTACACACTGAGTCGCACGTAACTAAAATGTACTCACAACATCACATGATTTGTTTTCATGTAACGTTTTTGATCAAGTTTCTTCTTGAATTTAAGCTTCTTAAAACATATCAACCCATTCACTGAAGCAGCTGAAATACACTAAAAAATGTAAGATTTGAAATGAGCAAAATCAAATCAACAGAGAACAATTACATTTCGAGAAATTGAGTATTTACAGGCAGGTTAACAATCAACAATCAACTCTAATTTTGAAATTGACTCTACTTGACAAATTTAAACATTTTTTGTTTATATTTCCTCAAGATTTTTTGGGAAAATGTGTCCAATTTTCTTGGACAATTAGAAATGTAGTTGATAATTGAGTTAAAAAAATTCCCAACACTGTTTTTTTTTTAATTGAAAGCTAATCCTTGTCATAAAGTCCTTGGGAAAGCTTATACCTTCCTTTTGGTCAATAACCCATCACGTGGGTTTTATCATGTTTATAGGGTTTTATATGAAACCCTGTAACAAATCTGGCCATCTCACTTTCGGTATTCAATATTTACAAACTGAGTCTCGTGTAACCTAAAATGTTCTCGCAACATATTATCGTAGATGTCGAGAAAATAGTTGTGTCAGTTATTACATCAAACATTTCCCGTGACTTCTTTACAGTACATAATAACCTGAAGGTTATGCTGGTTTTAAGTAAAGAAACAAAACAAATAGGAGCTAGCTCACATGATTAACATCATGAGTTGTAATAATCACTGTATTTGTTTCCTTGGAATGCTTTTTTTTATTCAACTTTCTTCTCGAATTTCAATTTCTCTACATAACTCAACCCATTGAGGCAACTGAAACCAACTAATAAAACCTTGTTTTGAAATAAGCGAAGTCAAAATCAGCATAGGATGATTAATTTTTTTCTAAACTGCGTATACATTTTTTTACAGGCAGGTTAAATACAAATTACAATATGTTTTTAACAGAACGATCAACCTTAGCTCTACAAGTGTCGCAATTTCTTGGCAAAGGCTTCTATCTGCTGTTGTAAGATGAACGTTTGCCAGAACTATTGTGGTGTAGGCCTGCTAGGCTTGGCTTTCGGGCCGAATTAATTTTTGTTATTGTCTTTCTGGAGTTTCTGTTTAAAGCTATAGTCCATCATTTGTAATTAGTGCATTTTGTTCGTTTGAAGCAACAAAAGTGTTCAAAATCTAATGAAGGATACTGAGCAACTAACCTGATGAAGTTTCAGCTAAGCTTCAGCTGTCCATTCCGAGAAAAGCAGCATTCTAAGATCTCAATTTCAAATCAAAAGTTACTGAATCATGTTTTGAATTGTTTTGAATTGCAGCTATACGCGGCGTCGCGCACTTATCCGACGAATTATAACAACCGCGCGCGTGTGTGCGTCGTTCCAATACTTGTGCGCACTGCGCTGAATAACAAAACGAACTACTAATTTAAATTTTCCTACGGTGCTTCTTAAGAATCACCGTTGGAAATGCCTTCTTCGTTGATTACTTCAAAATGACAGCTTCCCAGAAAGAATAATTTCACAGGGAGTTTAGTTCCCTTACTATCTTTCAACCAAGTTTGTTTTTCAACAGTAATTACGCCAGTTACTTTTCGGATGGCTGCAAATGATGGACTATAGCTTTAAATAGTCTCTCACAGTTGGCCAATGAGTGTATATTGTGCACATAATTTTGCCAATGGGCTACAATTTGTATTCATATCACATTGACACCCTCAGTTGTCGGAACCAGTATATTGTTTGTTGAAAAACGAAATACATCTAACGTAACAGAGAAATTGATATTGAAAACAAAACTGTAATCGTGGTATTTCAAGTTTTCTCTTGAATAGCGTTTTACTTTATTTATCCTTATAGTACTTGAGCGGAGGATGAATGTTAATATACATGAATGAAAAACCTTCTTTGCCTTTAGGTTTTTCCTAATTTGATTTTTAAACGCTTTTTAAAAATCATCACCGGATTTGATTCAATTTTTACTTTTTTTATTTTATATTTTTTCTTTTGAATGAACTGAAAAGGTGACTTATTATAATTATACTTGATGACATTTTGACAAGATATCTTCAACCGCCCACTTTTGAGGACAAAATCGACCGATTGATCAGAAAGTCAAAATAATACAGGCAACACATGTACATGTAATCCAATACCGTATACTTTTTTTGTATAATACGTGGTGTATCAATATTCTAAAACTTTTAATTCATTGTTGTGATAGGACCACTCTTTACTTTTTCTATCAACATTCCTCAAATGATGCGAAATTGACATGACTGATTACAATGTTGTATCACACCTGGTGATACACTTTGACTGAGGTCCAGTCAGCCACTGCCAGCTGCCCACCAGATGTGAATGTGATACCCCGCGGGTTGTGCAGACCCTGTGCGATGCACTGGAGGAAGCCACCTTGAGGGTCGTAGTGGTGGATATGACCCGTGTTGGCACCGTTTTGCATTGCAACATAGATACCTGAGCTATCAGTGCATACACCGTTGCAGAATTCCACTGGTTGACCATTGATGGTGGGTTTGATAGTGCGTTTTGTAGTACCATTGCCACCGGCAATATCCACTGTCTGTGATGAAAGGCCACTTATTATAACTCGATCATTGCTGTCAAAAGCCAGAAAATAAGGTTTAATCTTGACTGGTATGGTATGAAGGAGCTCACCATCAGTGGGGCTGTGCACTGTCAATACCATCCTCGCCACATCTCCCACTGCAATGGTACCATCATTCTTGACAGCTACGCTCTGGAGGTCAACCGTGGTCTTACCGACCTCACTCGGCGGCACCGTTGGGAACTCGTATGCCAGCGTGTTGTCGCTGTTGAACACCTTTACATGGGATGCTCCTTCCTCAACAACCACCAAACGATTGTCGCTGCGTGTAGCTGCGATGCCACATGGACCTGTAGGGGGCACGATGTAAAAACAAACAATAATGGTCAATTTCTATCTGAATTGCAAATTATAAAAATATCAAAAATGAATTGGAGTGATTATTAATGTGTCCCTGGCCAAAAAATATACATTGTCAAATATACATTTACATTTGTACGTGTACATGTTAGGGATATCACTGTGTCTTAAGGTATCCTGTACATATTGATGTTTAAGCCTTTCGATAATTGCCTGTTGTATCTTTCAGTGGGATAATAGGAAAAAAAACTAAAAGACTCCTGACAACAGTTGAGAAATTAACCAGTGAACCAGTGCATCAGGAAAACTTATATTTCTTTCATTTTAAATGGATTTTCCTTGAACTTTCATCCTTTGAAAAAAATGTCACGAAACGAACAAACAAAATTCATGAAAAAACAAGAGCAAACTAATTAAAAATGCGTGGGGACAGGGCAAAAAAACCAATATCAAACATGAGGTTTGATTTACAGTAGTGTTTGTTCAATTTCTGAAAAAAAATAGCAAGGAAATTTAATGTTTGACATGGACGATGTATTTACATGTATATTTAAAAATCTCCATGTTAAGAAAACCAATGTATTCACTAACACATGTTTCGCATGAAATTTCCTGTGATTTAGTTCGATCAGATCTCTTGAGGTAAATTAAAAACAGATAATGGGGAAAGAAATACATGTACGCGTGTATAATTTGAGAGATTGCAATGCACGGTTATAAAAACTTACGTCCTTGCATCGGGATCGTGCTTTTCTGGTTGCCATCGATGCTGCAAATCACAACTCGGTTTTTCCAGTAGTCAGTCACTGCAATCTCATCAGGTTGACGAGCAGCTATGCCCCAAGCCCCATTAAACATTCGTCGACCGCTTCCCTGTCTACCAAACTCCCGAGACAGCTCCCATTTGCCTTCCGTCACCACCTGACCCAGACTGATGCCACCAACACCCTCACTCTGCTTGAACTTCAGAAATGCAAGCCTGTTGTCAACTCTAGGCACACTCTGATCTGCCAACAATTTCAAATCTTTACTGATTGTGGCATAGAGTGAGAGAAAGTCACTATCTGATGCAGTCTTTGTCACCTCTCTAGCTGTGTCAAGTGAATACTGAAATCTCTCCACTGCCAAGCTCATAGTTTTCTCATATTCGTCCAGTTTTTGTCCACGATCTGTTTGGATGTTTTTAATGTCGTCCAGGATGCGATTTTCTTGAGCTGTTACGTGTGCTCGTATCTCAGCTGCTCTGTCCTGCACTTCTGTCATGGCCCTCTTAACTGTGACACCCAAATCTTCTCTTATTTTTGAAACTCTCTCTCGTGATTTCTGGAGTTCCGTCAATGAGTTTTCAAGTGGAGAAAACAGTTCAGCCAATGACTGCTTGAAAACCGATGTGGCCTCATTTCTCTCAATATATGTGTGTTCTGGCATACGGTGGTTTATTACAGTACAATCTCGGCAGATCAAAGTTTCACACGTCTTACAGAAGAACCTTGTCACTTCGCCGTCATGTATTGGACATTTTGGATGTTGTCCTGGCTTCTCCTTTGTCACTTTTACCTTTCCCTCACGAATGTCTTCCAAAGCTGCTATCGTGTGGCTGGATGTAGCAGCGATTCGCAGCTGTGTACGTCGACAACGAGAGCAGATATTCTGTGCACAATCCAGACAGCGATGTGTTGCCTCATTATCATCATCACACGTCTCACACAGCAGCTTTGTGTCACCCGAACACACCAACTTTTCCTGCAGTTCAAACTCCTCGACCAGACCAATCAGATGGAAGTTTGTTTTCAGACCCTGCACCCCAACCTCAGGAAGTTTCGTCTCTTGCCGACACACGGGGCAAGGGATCACCGTAGAGCCTTCGTGCTTCGTGCTGCAGTATTTCAGCAGACATTGCTCACAAAAGCTATGCAGGCATTCCAGTATCTTGGGCTGTTGGTATCTCTCTTGGCATATGCTGCACTCAAGATGATGTCTGCTGATCGACTCTAGTGCTGAACTTACTGCAGGTCCAGTCGCCATTTCTGTCTAATAAATGTGAAGAAAAATAGTTTATTTAAAACATAAAAGTGATACAAATTTGCACCATTCGCATGCTTCCCTATATGGGTAGGGACCAATAGTAATTGGCAGGATGTGTTTTTGTATAAAATGAAACGATGTGTACATGTGCAGGGCTCTCAAGATGTGAATTAAAAAGAAACAATTAAGTGCAAATCAAACCCTTATCCATAAACTGCACCTCCTCTTCAAGCTATCACATATTCTATTTTATCTGTGATGCTTCCTTGGATTTGTGATATTGTTGGTTAATCTGGGAAGGAAGAAATGTGAAAAGTGACTTTATCACCCAATATTGCACTTTATCATTATGTCAACTTTCTGAATGCAAAACATCAATAAATGTGCAAATATAGTATTTATCATGGACAGATAGATATGGATACTCCAATATGTTGCATTATGTTTTCTGAGATAACATGACATGGTTTGCTCTTTATCGTTTTATTTTCATCTCCATTCACATGATTTACAAGCTGTCATTTGTTTTTAAATATGTTAAAATAATAACAAAAAAGTGTGCTGTACTTGTACGTCAAATCTATAGTCCTTTGCATCGAGCAGTGCCATTATCATTACTCGATATATTAACAGCCATAAAGGTACATGTAACAAGTACATGGAGTACATACATGAACGTGGTATTACAACATGTACATTTAGTCACATACGTAAATGCCTCATCAGAATTTCACAACAAAATGCTTCTCCAGGATTTAAGGAAGACAAAGATTATTGTGCTCACATTTATCCAACGTTCCCGGTTTGGATGATTATGATGTTTCTGTTGAGTCGAAAGAAGCAAATCTTTCGGTTGGTTACTTTTCAGGCTCGAAGAAGCAATCAACGCGGAAGTAGAACTACATGTACGTAAGTCGACGTGAAATGTACATCATATGAAGAGCGCCTCCAAGGGACAGCACGGCAATTTTTCCTGCGCTTCTGGTTGTGTGAGTGGCTTCCTGAATGGTTCAGATACTACAGATAGATTGTGTTCGTGATCAGCTGTTTGAACATTTTACTCGCTCTGACTCTGGACAAAAACTGAATCTAAAATGACTTAAGAATAATAATATCGAGGGCGTCATCAAGCGCCATCGGCAGTGCATTCAAATGTCTTTTTCAAGTTGTCTGCCCAACCTGCCCAACTCTCCCTGTGTAACCGTTGAGGGGGTAATTTGCACGGGTTTTATCATTGCGCATGTTTCCTTGTTTATCAAAACAAGTGATGACCTTTTTGTTTTGCAGTGCACTCCTATTTTCCCATCTCATTAAAAAAAAAGTTGCATTAAATAGGTATATATATTTTTAATTTCCATTTTACATTTTTTTTTGTATTTAAAAAAACCCAAAATCTCCATGCATTCATTATTTTTTGAAGGGGCGGGGCGTGGGGATGGATGGGTTCAACGGGGGAGGTTTTGAAAGTACCTACGGCCTTTGAAAAACAAACACTTCCTATTGAGGATGTCTAAATGAGCCTGATTCCTGATGTGAGGGCGGTATAGGATCCCGAGAAGCTTCCATTTTCTTTTTCATTTTTCTTAAAAGTTACCGCCGCTCATTGCCGGAAATGGGATAGCGGCCCCTTTTACTTTTTTTCTTCATTTTTTATAACTTCTAAACTGCATTAATTGCCGCATCTTTCCCAATATAATTGTGTTGGAAAACATGCAAATCTCATATGAATCACGGATGTTTTAAAGATTGATTCTCCGAGTCATTCTCTATGAAAAGTCTATTTGCGATGAATGCACACAAAAAAAAGAAAGAAAAGTGATATCCCCTTGAAACCATGCAGTTGCCTTTGACTTTTATTCAATTCACTGTTTGCAGAGTTTGAGACTGACCATCTGGCAAGTGGCTGTATGATGCCCTCTCTTGGATTAAAGCTCATAGAAAATTGACTTGTCAGTTCTTATTATTGTGCAGAATTTGGATATCTCATCATCATTCAAATTCAGTTTGTTTGCAACTTGATTGTTATATGTTGCCACATCTAGGGCAGAATGTGGACGGAGATTCGGAGGTGATTCACACTCACCATTGCAAATGTACAATTGAAACCCGGCCAGTGATTTTAATAACTTTATTTTCGAAATTGCAAGAAGACCCTCCACATTTGCTGCTTTTGAGGAGAAACCGATGTTCACTTGTTTCGTAGTTACGTATCACACCAATCCTGTCTGACGTCCAAATTGCTTCATTTATTCAAAACTGAAAGACTGTTTGGCAAGTTTGAGATTTTGCCGTTGCATATTGCTTTTGTTTTGTTTTGGTCTTGCCAGAAGCAACTTCTTGACTCATCTTTTTCCATGTACTATATGATCAGCTAGGCTCATATTAATATAACACTACACGTATTGTTCAGGGATCGACATGGCATCGAATACAGAATCAAAATGTAAAATCAAACTTTTAACCTGATTCCAGAAATGTTAATGTATCTTTTATCATTTTTTGACCACTCATCTAGTGTTTTTACTTTCCACGCAGTCCATGGCTCCTCCTTGTACAGCAAATACAAGTAGGGCGCGGTGCTGTCATAACTGTTTCGTATTGTTTAATCTGCAATTACCTAAATTCTTTGTAATTTCAAACTGTGTTCCCAAAGAGTGTATTTCCTGCTAATCGGTTAAACACAGAAAATGCAGAAATACAAAAATGACCTGTCAAAATTCAAACGAGGTGAAGCGTCAGAGACACACAGCATTATTCCACACCATTCAAAGGGGCCGATTTCATTAGAATATGAAGAATTTTTTTTTTTAAAGTACATTAACAAATTCATTTAATTTTTCCCTCACGTTTCAACACGTTTTTGTTTTTGGAAATGGACTCGATTCGAGTTGAACATAGTCCGAATCAGTCACTAGCCGAGTCTGACTCAAACCGAGTCCAAAAGGCAACGAGTCTGATGCCAGTCACGAGTCAAACAAAAAATAAACAAATAAACTGACTCGAGTCCTCCAAAATATACCCGCCTGAATCACCTGAAGAGGGGGGGGGGGGTTGATAATTCAAATTACGTTTGCTGAATAATTACTCCTAAACTTATAATGCGACAACTTTTCCTCCCATTCCCTATTTTAAATTGAATAAATTCGTATTGCCAAAAATACACAGAATAAATTCAATTAGATAAAAAAACCTCGCTTCTTTGCCATTTAAAAACTCCCCCATCAAATTCAAATACAGTCTCAATAGCAGAACTATTTAATTAGGAATCGAAATGTTAAGTGTCATTAAAAAATGTCCAAACAATTAGAGTGTTGTCTGCTTAATGAGTAACGCCTACCTCCTGTATGTCATTTAAAAAGTTGAACAAAACAAACAGTTAGCACATCATTGATAAGTGTAAAGAAATCCCCGCTTTATTGAAAATAAACAATTTTTTTTTAGCCAAAATATACAGACAAACAAGTACAGTGTAGTGCATTGTAGACGAGTGTATGGTACTCGAGTGCGCGGTCGATCTTTTGGACTTCGTTCAATTGGCACTCCATGGTATTTATTAGTATCTTCCCGTGTCAGGCTTGTGTGACTCCTTCTGTTTGCACAAAGTTAATTGTATTCGCGTACTGGTATCGTGAAGCCCTGTGTATCGGCCTTACACATGCACAAATGCAAAGTACAAGCCTGCATACAAAACATGCACCACAGTTTAATAAGCTATAGCTGTAGCATTTATTTGTTTTAAACACGCTGTTTTTCTTTCCAATTGGAAACTTTGTCATGAAATACCTAGCTAGGACAGTGAAAACATTCCTATTGGCCAAGAACCGATCACGTTGCTTGAATTTAACCCTTTGTAAAAAAAATCAGGTTAGCATCTTACGTATATTTCAGTATTCACTATTTACATACTTTATCTCATGAAATCTATATGAACTAAAATCTTCTCAAAACATATCGATGATGTCGAGAATATACATTAATGTATTGGACTTTTGGTTAAAAGATACAACAATTCTCGAAACTTCTGTTCATGATAACTCGAGTGTTACGTGCATGTTAGTGACAATGCAAATATGAACACAAGAGCTACAACTTCCCTAAGCCGTTTTTTGTCACTGTAGGATTTCGTCTATGTGATTATCATGAGTCGTAATTATCACATGATTTGTTTTCATCTAATGTTTTGATCAAGTTTCTTAAAATATACCAACCCATTCAACGAAGCAGCTGAAATCAACTTATAAAACTAAGTTTTAAAATGAGCTAAGTCAAATCAACAGAGAATTATCCCATTTGGAGAAATTGTGCATTTACAGGCAGGTTTACAGCAATTAAAAATGTCTCGGACAGATTAATCAACTAAATTAATTTTGAATTTGACTCTCCTTGACATATTAAAACAGTTTTTAAATTATCTCGAGATTTTTTTGGAAATTGTGTCAAATTTTCTTGGACAGTTGAAGGAAATGTACACAAATATGTAGTATGTATCTTGATAATTGAGTTAAAAATTTACCAACATTTTTTTCTTCTTTTGAATTAAAAGCTAATCCTTGTCATAAAATCCTTAGGAAAGCTTATACATTCCTATTGGTCAAGCACCCATCACGTGGGTTTAATTGAAACCCTGTAACAAATCGGGCCTACTCACTTTCAGTATTCAATATTTACAAACTGAGTAGCATGTAATCTAAAATGCACTCACAACATATAATCGTAGATGTCGAGAAAATTCTAAATATATAATGGAACTGTCAGTTATTACATCAAACATTTCTCGTGACTTCTTTACAGTACATAATAACCTGAAGGTTATGCTGGTTTTAATTAAAGAAACAAAACAATGTTTCGTTTCATAGGAGCTAGCTCACATGATTAACATCATGAGTTGTAATAATCACTGCATTTGTTTTCCATGGAATGTTTTTTTTTATTCCACTTTCTTCCCGAATTTCAATTTCTCTACATAGCTCAACCCATTGAGGCAACTGAAACCAACTAATAAAACCTTGTTTTGAAATAAGCGAAGTCAAAATCAGCATAGGACGATTATATTTCTTAAACTGCGTATTTACAGGCGGGTTAAATATAAATTACAATATGTTTTTAACAGAACGATCAAGCTTAGCTCTACAAGTGTCGCAATTTCTTGGCAAAGGCTTCTATCTGCTGTTGTAAGATGAAAGTTTGCCAGAACTATTGTGATGTAGGCCTGCTATGCTTTCGGGCCGAATTCATTTTTGTTGTTGTCTCTCTTGAGTTTCATTGTTTATTTAGTCTCTCACAGTTGGTCAATGAGCGTATATTGTGCACATAATTTTGCCAATGGGCTACAATTTGTATTCATATCACATTGACACCCTCGGTTGTCAGAACCAGTGTGTTGTTTGTTGAAAACGAAATACATCTAACGTATCAGAAAAATTGATATTGAAACAAAACTGTAATCGTGATATTTCAAGTTTTCTCTCTAATAGCGTTTTAATTTGTTGAGCCTTATATTACTTGAACTGATGAGGATGAATGTTAATATACATGAATGAAAAAACTTCTTTGCCTTTAGGTTTTTCCTAATTTGATTCTTAAACGCTTTTTACAAATTATCACCGGATTTGATTCAATGTTCGCTTTTTTTCTTTTCTTTTGTTTCTTTTGAATGAACTGAAAAGGTGACTCATTATAATTATACTTGATGAAATTAAGACAACCGCCCACTTTTGTGGACAAAATCGACCGATTGATCAGAAAGTCAAAATAATAAAGGTAACACATGTAATCCAATACGTACACGTTTTTTGTATAATACGTGGTGTATCAATATTCTAAAACTTTTAATTCATTGATGTGATAGGACCGCTCTTTACTTTTTCTATCAACATTCCTCAAATGATGCGAAATTGACATGACTGATTACAATGTTGTATCACACCTGGCGATACATTTTGACTGAGTACCAGTCAGCCACTGCCAGCTGCCCATCAGATGTGAATGTGATACCCTGTGGGTAGTGCAGACCCTGTGCGATGCACTGGAGGAAGCCACCTTGAGGGTCATAGTGGTGGATATGACCGGTGTTGCCACCATTACACATTGCAACATAGATACCTGAGCTATCAGTGCATACACCGTTGCAGTGTTCCACTGGTTGACCATTGATGGTGGGTTTGATGGTGCTTTTTGTAGTACCATTGCCATCGGCAATATTCACTGTCTGTGATGAAAGGCCACGTATTATAACTCGATCATTGCTGTCAAAAGCCAGAAAATAAGGTTTAATCTTGACTGGTATGGTATGAAGGAGCTCACCATCAGTGGGGCTGTGCACTGTCAATACCATCCTCGCCACATCTCCCACTGCAATGGTAAAATCATTCTTGACAGCTACGCTCCGGAGGTCAACCGCGGTCTTACCAACCTCACTCGGCGGCACCGTTGGGAACTTGTATGCCAGCGTGTTGTCGCTGTTGAACACCTTCACATGGGATGTGGCTTCCTCAACAACCACCAAACGATTGTCGCTGCGTGTAGCTGCGATGCCGCGTGGATCTGTAGGAGAAGCAATGTAAGGACAAACGGAATTACTTAATTTCGATTTGGATTGCAAAATTAAAAAACAAAAGAAAAGGGCATTCTGTCAAAATGGCATATCGTGTCAAGGTTATGAGTATTCAAGGTTATGAGGCGTCGGACTTATGAGTATTGTACATGCTTGAGAAATTACCAGGTAGTTTGGATGTTTATGATTGTCTTTATATCATTGCCCCATTACAAGGCACAAATGATTGTTCCTCATTAAAACTATCTTCCAGTTAAAGGATGGAAAATATAAAACACATTCATGACAACAATACAGAACGTATTAATCGAATTTCAGGAATACCGACTTTTTATGCACATTTTCTTTCATCAACCATTTTTATCAACTCTACCAATTCAAACGCCTTTTGCATGATCTTTCCATCTTTTGCACAGAACTTGAAAAAACAAAGCGAACCAAATATAAAAACTATTAGAGCCAAAACTAAAACCACAGTCGAAACTCCCCACCAATATCAACAATCAATGAGTTTTAAAAGAAAAAAAAGTGGGAAAAAAGAATTTTGACATGAACGATGTATTGATGTTCAAAACATATCCACATTATGAAAGCCAACGTCAATAACATTTTGCATCAAATTTGCTGTGTTTCCGTTTCTGATCTCGTAGGGAAAATTAAAAACAGTGACAGGCAACAAAAACTGTACGTGTGCACAATTCGGGAGATCGCAATACTATGCACGATAATTTAAACTTACATCCTTCCATTGGGATCGTGCTTTTCTGCTTCCCATCGATGCTGCAGATCACAACTCGTTTGTTCAAGCAGTCAGTCACTGCAATCTCATCAGGTTGACGAGCAGCAATGTCCCAAGCCACATTGAACTCTCCTGGACCGCTTCCCTGTCTACCAAACTCCCGACACAGCTCCCATTTGCCTTCCACCACCACCTCACCTAGACTGATGCCACCAACACCCTGACTCTGCTTGAACTTCAGAAAAGCGAGCCTGTTGTCAACTTTAGGCATACTCTGACCTGCCAACAATATCAAATCTTTGCTGATTGTTGGATAGAGTGAGAGGAAGTCACTATCCGATGCAGTCCTTGTCACCTCTTTAGCCGTATCGAGTGAATACTGAAATCTCTCCGCTGCCAAGCCCATAGTTTTCTCACATTCGTCCAGTTTTTGTTCACGATCTGTTTGGATGTTTTTGATGTCCTCAAGCATATGATTTTCTTGCGCCGTTACCTCTGCTCGTATCTCAGCTGCTCTGTCCTGCACTTCTGCCATGACTTTCTTAACTGTGACACCTAAATCTTCTTTCATTCTTGAGACTTTCTCTCGTGACTCCTGGAGTTTGGTCATTGAGTTTTCAAGTGGAGAAAACAGTTCAGCTAAAGATTGCTTGTACGTTGATGTGGCCAGATTTCTGTCAATGTACGAGTGTTCTGGCATACGATGGTCAATGACAGTACAATCTCGGCAGATCAACACCTCACATGTCTTGCAAAAGAACCGTGTCACTTCGCCCTCGTGGATTGGACATTTTGAATGTTGTTGATGCTTTGATTTGATTTGATAAGATGAAGCTTTACCTTTACGAATGTCATCTAAGCTACTTATAACGTGAACTGATAACTGAGCAAACTTCATGTGAAATTTTGTACATTTGGAGCACATGTTTTTGCAGCAGTCCATGCAGTGATCCGTTGCCTCACTTTCTTCCTCACAGACTTCACACAGCAGCTGCTTGCTGCCAGAACACACCACCTTCTCGTGAAGTTTGAACTCCTCAACCAGACCATTCAAATAAAAGTTTGTTTTCAGACCCTGCACCCCAACCTCAGGAAGTTTCGTCTCTTGCCGACACACAGGGCAAGGAATCGCTTCAGATCCTTTGTGCTTCGTGCTGCAATATTTCAGAAGACATTGTTCGCAAAAGCTATGTAGGCATTCCAATATCTTGGGCTGTTGGTATCTCTCTTGGCAGATGCTGCATTCAAGATGATGTCTGCTGATCGTCTCTAGAGCTGAACTTACTGCAGATCCGGTCGCCATTTTGGTCTAATAAATGTGAAGAAACGTATTTTGTTAAAAAAATAAGAATGATAAAAATGTATCATGACTTTATCATTCACATGTCTTCTCATATGGGTAGGGACCAATAGTAATTGGCAGGATGTGCTTTGTATTTAAAACGAATCGACAGGTACAGGACTCTCAAGATGTGAATTAACAAGTCCAAATCACACCCATTATCCATAACTGTACATCCTCTTAAAAATATCACATCTTTTATTTTATCTGTGATGCTTCCTTGACATTTTTAGATGTGGGTTCATGCGGGAAGGTAGAGAAATCTGGAATGGACTTTAATCATCTAATGTTGAAATTCATCATTCGTGTCCAGTTTCTGAATGCAATCTACATGTATCAGTTTACATGTACTTGTGGTACGTTGAGTTGTAAGATGCTCCATAGCTGTCCTATAAAATATGTGTCTCAAATACTGACCTTCCTTGGGTATTGAGAGCACAAAGCATTATGGCCTTATGTACATGCTACATTTCCTGAAAAGGACATTCACTATGGAAGCTGCTTGGTTAATAACCAGAAGAAAAAAAGCGAATCTCGTACATCATGCACTTTACAGGGGAAATTGTGAATGCTGACGACACTTAAAAAAAACCCAAAAAAAAACCACACACACACACACACTCACAATTATCATTTTTGCAGTGTAAAATATTGTTATTTCAGAACAAGTTAAAGAAGGCACTTTTGGTGTTCATCATATGGAAAGTGAAAATCACACGTCATACGGGGTAACATGTCGTGGTTTTCTCTTTATGTTTACGTTCTTCTACAAGCTGTCATTCGTTTACAGAAAAGGAGGTGGATTTAAAACTTATTTTGGAAGAGGATTTCCTTAAGTATCTGATACTAATTTATTAATTTCCTCACACCGTGGCTGCACCGGCTTTCTTTTAGCGTACGCTAGTTTGCCGGAGGAATTTGAGACGACCTCTGCTAAATTATTGTATTACTAAAAGAAAACGCCGCCGCCCAAATATTCACAGCCTTCTAAAAAGGATAAAGCAATAGCCAGGACCAGGTAGCATATACATGAGCGCAGACACTCTAATAAAATGTGTCATGTAATTATGCCAATTGAAATATCGATATTATGTAGTCATGGTAGCTTAGGACACCTCTTATTATTATTTACAAGTTGTGTTCATAAATCAAAACCCTGGACTCTTTCCACAAAATTAAGCTAGCTGATATTCAACATGGTATCTTAGCGAACTATTATTTGAGATGATTCCGAACACATAAAGTGACCTTTCCTGCTTGTATCATAGCCAAATGTTCAGGTTTTAATAATTAAGCCCTAAAACATAAAAGGGTCTTTTCTTTCTCTTATATTGAACGGGCCAGTGCTGAAGTTTCGCTTGCACTGGTACTTTGCAGCGGGTACTGCCATTAGTGACAGCTAGAGCAAGCACAGTGCAATGAACTGCTGTAAGTAAGCCACTGAGCCCAACATATTTACAGTAACCAAAAACATCATACACAGTATTGAGACTCCCACATTTTTGAACAAAACAATAACATGAACAAGAAAGGAAATGGGTTGACTCCGGTACGAGTTGAATCGGGTACGAGTTGACCCCAAATCACAATAAACATGCCTAACGAACGTTATACATGTAATCAGTTGATTACCACACAAATTTAAAGTACGTCGCACATACATGTACATGTAGCGCACACAAACATCAACATCATAATTTCACAACAAAATGCTTCTCCAGGTTTTACGGTAAACGGATATAATTTGCTCACATTTATCCCGAGTTTCTTGTTAATGTTAAAATGGTAAAATCTTGATGTTTCTGTCGAGTCAAAAGAAGAGAGTCTTTCGGTTGGCTCTGGCTGAACGCGGAAGTACAAGTCGACGTAAAATGTAACATGAAGAGCGCCTCCAAGAGACAGCGTGCCAATTTATCCTGCGTTTCTATCTGACTATTCAGTATACAGACTGTGTTCGTGACCACCTGTTCGAACTGTTTTTGTTACTGTGAATCGTGCCAAACAAATGTTTTCTCAAATTAATGTTTAAATTTAACTTGGAGGACGTCATCAGGTTCAGTCGACAGTGCGTTCGAATGTCTCTTCCAGTGGTCTCCTCAACTCTCTCTTTGTTACCGTAGAGAGGGTACTTTGCACAAATTTTCTTCTTTTCTCAGGGCACTTATCTCCTTCCCATCTCATTCCACAAACTGCATTATAACATGAATAAACTGTTTGAATTTTTGTTTTAATAGTGTATTATTAGCGTTTGCCTTTTCATTTTTGTTAATTGTTTTATAATCTATTTTCTCCCTGCTTATTTTTCATTATTTTTTTTCGTGGGGGGGGGGGGGGGGTTGGTGGTGGATGGGTTTGATCGGTGGGGGTGGGGAGGTTTCGAAAGTAGCTCCAGCCTTTAAATAATTTAAAATGAACCTTATAAGGAATGTATATAATCTATGTAGATTTTCAATTTTTGTCTTCACGTTTCCTAAAAACCCAGGCTCATTGCGCTAATATATCTGCTGTTACTGTTTTGTATAATCATTTAAAAAAAAAAATCTAAACTGGTTCAATTGCCGCATCTCGTCCAACGCGGAAGACGTGCATTCCAAAATGCATGCTTATGCTTTGTAATGTTATGTATTACCATAACATTACAAAGATAACATTAAAGGGTTCGTATTCATAGAATTGCGGGAATGCAACTGAAGCTAGTATGAGCAGTTTTTGTCTATGCAAAATTACACGATCAAAGCCAAAAGTGGGTTAACGTTGTGGGGTAATAATTGTTTTGTAAATACTGCGTCAATGCTTGCAGTCATCAGAATTATTTCTAACTTTTGTACAGAGTATGTATTTGTCTACGGTTTTTCCTTTCCCAACTGACCCCTAGTTTTCAGGAACTATATATGTTTCTTGAGAACCAAATTGCACTAAAAACGGTAAAACATAATAATTAGAAATGGATATTTAAAAAAAAAATGGAGGTCATATAACCTCTCTAAAATATCCAACTTACTGGAAATATAAACTGCTTAAAGTAAAAAAAGAAAGGTGCATGTATTCTCGGTGCCGTACTGAAAGGTGTTTTCAAAGAGTCAACCGGGGTGATTAAAATTAAGTTTGTAATATAATCACTCCTTAACTTAACACAGTACAATTTTTTCCTTCAATTTCTCAATTAAATTGAATACATTATTTTGTATTTAGAAAAGCAAAAAAAAACCACCAAAATAAATAAGATATAAACCGCGTGATTACTTTGCTTTTAACTTGCATGGGTTATATTTATTTAGCATTGTGGGGCAAATGTTCTGGCTAACTCACGAAATGCCTACTTTGTGTAATCAAATACAGTGTCGATGAGAGGCTATTTAATTAGGAATTTAAAGGATGAATGTCATTTACAAAAAGTCAAAACAATTAGAGGGTTGTCGGCGTAATGAGTAAAACATGCCCCATGTAAGTCACTTTTAACAAAGCTTCATATGTAGGCATATGATTAGTAACGAAATCCTCGCTTTAATGAAATAAAAACAAAGTTGTTTATTTGTCTAAAATTATTCCATGGTAATGAAAAGCCAAAATATACAGATAGACAAGTATATCATGAGACGAGTGGTAAGGCGCTGAATGCACGGTCGATCTATTTGAACTTCGTTCAATATTGGCACTCAAGGAGATTTAGTATGGTCCCGTGTCAGGCTGACCCTTTCTGTTTGCGCAACCTGAATTCAACTACAAACACGTACTGTTATCGTGAAGCCCTGTGTATCGGCCTTTTACGTGCAGTAGTTAAATACACGACTCCACAAGCCTGTTTACAAATGATGCGCCACAGTTTACTAAACTAGATGTAGCATTAAACAAAAAATCATTTTGGCCAATAACCGATCACTTGGCTTGAATTTTACCCTTTAAACAAATATTAGGTTATCTTACGTTTATTTCAGTGTTCTCCATTTACAAACTTATCCTCATGTAATCTATATGAACCAAAATCTAGTCAAAATATATCGTTGATTTCGAGAAAATAACACATGTATAATTTGACTTTTGATTAAACGATCAAACAATTCTCGTAACTTCTGTTCATGGTGCATAAAGGACTGATAATAAAGGACTGCACAAAGGACTGATAATGACATTACAATAATCCTCAGTTGTCAGATCCAGTGTATTGTTTGTTGAAAAATAAAATACATCTAACGTACCAGAACAATTGATATACAAACAAATCGTAAGAATGGTATCCCAAACTTTCTCTCCAATAACGATTTCAGTTATTCATCTCTATAGTACTTGATCGTAGGATGAATTTGTATATACATGAATTAACAATCTTATTTGCTTCAACCACGCTTACGGTTAGGGTTTTCCCTTCAATTTCATTCTTAAACAATTTTTTTTACAAACTTTCGCCGCATTTGATTCAATGTGATATTTTGCTTTCTATTACTTTTTTGGGGGAATTCAAGTCTATTACTATCAACCAAGCCATTTTTTTTTCAGTTGAAACAGCTGAACTCAGCCAAATTAACTTTTAATTAACAAGAGCAAAGTGAAATCAACATCATGAGAATGAAACAATTTCTCAGAATTGCGCATTTACAGGCGAGCTGAACTAGAATTCAAATACCTAACATACTTATACTTAACATAGTTGGCATGTATTGCTTAAACTATGATACATTGTAATTAGTGTATGCGCATCCAACTGGACATCTAGGCTCAACTTCAATGTAGTGTTCAACCCTCCTGCTGTCTGATCAGTCACAGACAGTCAACAAATCAACCCTCTT